GTTGCATGTGCATTCTCTCCACATTGTTGCATCTACATTCTCTCCACATTGTTGCATGTACATTCTCTCCACATTGTTGCATGTGCATTCTCTCCACATTGTTGCATCTACATTCTCTCCACATTGTTGCATGTACATCATTCTCTCCACATTGTTGCATGTACATTCTCCCCACATTGTTGCATGTACATTCTCTCCACGTTGTTGCATGTACATTCTCTCCACATTGTTGCATGTACATTCTCTCCACATTGTTGCATGTACATTCTCTCCACATTGTTGCATGTACATTCTCTCCACGTTGTTATCATGTACATTCTCTCCACGTTGTTATCATGTACATTCTCTCCACGTTGTTGCATGTACATTCTCTCCACATTGTTGCATGTGCACTCTCCACATTGTTGCATGTACATTCTCTCCATGTTGTTATCATGTGCACTCTCTCCACATTGTTGCATGTACATTCTCTCTACATTATTGCATGTATATTCTCTCCATGTTGTTGCAGGCGAGTGGAACTACAGTATTGTTGATGACGTGCGTGTTCTCACCACGGTCAACACATCCAGTGCATGGGTCGCTGCCACGGGTCTCATCCCCGATAGCCTGTACCGTATTCAGCTCAACGCTAGCAACTCTGCTGGCTACCTGCTCAGTAACGTGCAGGAGCTAGAGACGCCACCGGGACGTGAGTACCAGAGAGCGTAGCTACAGTACTACTCAGCAGACGCATTCGAGATACTAGAGTTCAAAATGCCATGCCATGAATCTTTGTCCGTCATCAGTGTCTGCATATCCGCTATGTCATGTTGGATATCCCTTGCAATGCAGTCAATGTAGTTCAGTGGCCGTCTTCCTCTGGTTGGGCAAGGCAATCTCAAGCAGATCACATCAGATATAATTTGGTCTTTGGCACGAAAACAGTGACCAGCAAAACGTGTTCTGCGACGAGCTATGTTGTGAGTACCAGAGGGCGTAGCTGCAGAGACGTGCCACTTCAAGTGTGTATTGCGATATTTTTGCTTAGAAAAACTAAATATAGCTGAACATCGTCTCACCTGACAGCGGAAATATCACTGATTACACCAACATTAAAAATACTAATATTTTATGCAGTTATAGCATAGAAAATTGGATATGAACACATCGTAACAGCAATGCATTTTATCGTGTCGCGATAATGCCCAATGGCAGAATTGGTAAACTTGTATTTGTGTCGGTGATTAATTGAAAACAAGTGCATGATTTGAGAGAGCCTGTACTTTGTCTATGGCAGATAAGCGGTGGCGATACTAGCTAATTCATACTTACAGCTAGTTTCAAGATGACAACAAACGATTGTTTACCAAACTAGTAGTTCGAAACTGGCACTTTTTTGGTGAATACGAAGGTTCTAAGACATTTTATTGTTACTCTAGAGTCTAGACAATAACGGTAGGTGTCATGAAAATGGTGCAAACACTGGAAAACTCTCGCAATAGTTACTTTAACTTCCATGTTGGAAGCGCGAAAAGTCTATGCCTCCTACCATCACGTTTGCCAGCGTTCAAACTTAATTTGAAACTATAGTGTCGTTAGTGTAGTCGATGGCATTTAAGTGAGGATGGGGTATCACACTTTATTAAATGAAGCGTTGTTTAACGACTGTTAATTTAACTGTTGAGTGAAAAATCATTGAATAAATACTGTAATAGTATATATGATTTTGGCAAAAAATCGGTTAAACATGAGTGGAAAATAAAAACGTCTGTGTCCATTCATTGTAGTTTATAGTCCTCTATCTCTCATTGAACAATGCAAAGCATTTGTGATGATTACCTCTCATGTTATAACTATATGTTACCCCAAGCACAAGTGGCATGTTATAAATGGTTTATTTAACAGACTTTTTGCTTAGCGGACAATCCAACAAAACGTATCTCGTCTGTTAAAAGAGGTGTGGTATTAGTCGTGCTATCACACGACCTGTTCACGTAACAGCGCATTGCAGTCGGCGACGTGTGCATTTGTTCTCGTCAAAGCATTCACGGCTGATGTGTTTGCTAACAGTGGTAGCTGCGTGCATTGTGCGCGCTCGTCGCAAACGTGGCGGACAAATGACTCGAACGGGCGGTGGCAGGTAAACACAAGCCATGATGCCGACGCTATTCGCTGTTTGTTAGCACATGGTAAACACTTTCACATTTGCTAGCTGCCGTCGCACCACGCGCAACTGAATCACACTGTCAGGGTCATGCATGTGCCGCGAAATTTTTTGCGTCTGCTGCCACCGTTTGTTTCTTCCCTAACGATTTGTTTGCGGGAAAGTTAACGTAAACATAGATGGCATTTACACATTCAGCAGTTGCCCAGGAAATCGTTTAACTTTAAGGCTCCGTCACACTAGAGCTACGCTCATCACGATCGCCCCACGCTCAAAAAATTTGCCCGGGCCCAGCGCCGATACTACGATCTAAGTGCGTTTTTACCCCGATCTCATTGCGCTCAACAAGCTTTCACCACACTCCATACCACGCTCAACACCACGCCCGCATCACGCTTGCACTGCGCTCACTGCGTCTTTATTGTGACCAATCGGATCGTATTGCGTTCGAACGACGCTTGCACTGCGCTTAAGCAACACTCACCTTGCATCAACTGCGCGCCAGTCACGCTCCTAGTGCGACTTAATCACGCTCTAGTCAGGCGCCGACTGTGCTGGCAACGACCATATAAATACCATGGCATCCACCAAAGCCATGAGCACCACGGAAAAGAAGCCCTTATAGGTATGATACAATGAGCCAAAATTCGGTGGGCATCTGATGGCCACATGTTTTCTGTCGATGGCACCAAGCATGGGGCACATTTCATTTTATCAGGAAATCTTCGGCATTGGCATGCCATTCTTCTGGCATTGTAGGACACAAAATGACCTCCTCTTTGTCTTCTTCTACAATAGCCTGGCACACCTCTGGAACCAACAGCAATATGGTGTTGCGGGCCACTCTGAAGTCATACTGAAGTGAGGGATATTTATCACCCGATGCTAGATGCCTTATGGTGACTGCCAGTTTCAGTCCTGGTTCAAGTGCTTTTCTGTATCGGGTGACCTGCTCCTGGATTCTCGGCCGAATTCTGACAAGCAGTTCATCGAACATCTGTGGAGGCATCCTCAGGAAGTTGAAGAAGGATGCTTGATCTTCCATGCGTAGCTCAGCCATGAGACGATCATAGTGACCATAGAGAAGTCGTCTTACTACCGAAAGCCACGGACGCACCCAGCAAGATCTTCGTTGTCTTCTATTTCACCTCCTCATCCTCCTCAGCATGATGAGGGCTTGGCAATAAAATAATTCGCTTTGTCCTTCTACATGAAACATGGCTTGGAGTAGTGTTGCCTCATCCATAGTGGATACTGAACTGGTGGGGTGGCCAGGTTAGCACCCCAATTTATACCCCAAGTTCGCAGGACGTGATCTGAGCGTGGTATTGACGCAACTAACACGTAATGCGAACGCCACAACAGCGTGGTCTAAGCGTGTTGGGCGTAGTACAATCGTAGTACGAACGGGTCGAGCTTGCTAGAGACCCACAATGGTCATAGCGAGAGCGTGGTCAGGTCGCAGAGACATCTCCATGGACGTAGTAAAAGCGTGATGAAAACGTATTGACATCGTGCTGAGAACGGGGCGACAATTTTCACGCACCCGACATGCTTGCGATTCGATCATTAAGTTCGTACTACGCTCGAGTTACGTGGGTACTACGCCTTCCACGTCTCTAATACGCCCGCACTGCGCTGTCTTTCCGCCACGCGCGCACCACGATTGTTTTGAACATGCTCAAAGTTTGGCCACGCTCTCCACGCTCATGGTGACTGCACCGCGCTCGATTGCGATCGCAGTACGTCCATAGACGTTCATACTGCGTTCTACACGTTTTCACCACGCTCTTAGAACGTAGTACGAGCGTAGTGAGATCGGGGCCATGGTGCGACGGGGGTATTAAGAGTTTAGTTACACAATGACAGACAGTTTGTATAAGACCCCCCCTCGAAATTTTTGGCATTATTTAAACATGTCATCATACTATGGAAGGTTATGCGTAACGTGTAGGTATTCGTACCAACCTGAATACATTGTCGTTGAAAACAAATATTGTTATTAACTTATTGCGAGAGTTTTTCAGCGTTTTCACCACTTTCATGATACCTACCGTTATTGCTTGAGTAACAGCAATTGTCTAGACTCTAGAGTAACAATAAAATCTCATAGAACCTTCGTATTCACCAAAACATGCAATTTTCGAACTACTACTTTGGTAAACAATCGTTTGCTGTAATCTTGAGACTATAGAGCCAGTAGTATGGACTAGCTATAGTAATGCCGTGGCCGCTCTGCCATAGACATAGTACAGTCTCTCTCAAATGCACTTGTTTTCAATTAATCACTGACCATTTACAAGTTTACCAATTCTGCCATTACCGCGATACGAAAAAATCTATTGCTGATATGTGTTCATATCCAATTTTCCATGCTATAACTGCATAAAATCTTAGTGTTTTTAATGTTGGTGTAATCGGTGATATTTCCGCTGTCAGGTGAGACTATAGCCGCGTTCACACGGAGCGAAACGACCCATGTCGAAAACGACCCGTGTCAGGTGGGTCCCGGGTCAAACGTTCACACAGACGTTTTCTCGGTACGAAAATGACCTGGGTCGAAAACGACCTGAGCGCTGGTTCATTTTTTCTGTGTGAACGCGCACCGGCACACGCACCGGTAATGAGTACGGCGGTAAACGTCGCCTGTGTCGAGAGCCAGAGTTTGATTGTTTCATTCGAATTGTTCACTTGGATGCATTGTATTTTTTTCTCAGCTTGCATAGCAGGCAGCTCGCATAGCATCATGTGAACGCTCTCTTCAACGACGCTCCATGTCGTTTTCGATCCGGGTCAGTCTCGGATCGTTTTCGACCCGGGACGAACGCTCCGTGTGAACGCGGCTTATATTCAGCTATATTTTTTTCGGATTGAGTGTTTCTGAGCAAAAATCTGGTAATAATTGTAGTGATATCCATACTATACTGTAAGCTAACGCCGCCTATTGCCAAACAAGTCTAGTAAAGTTAACATGTGTAACAGTTTAACACGTTCCCCGCAGATCCACGAGTCAGCTCGTGGATAGATTATTGTATCCCCCGCGACGAAGTTGGCGGGGATACTATGGTTTCATGTCTGCCCAGCCGCCACCGCCGCTCGGTCCGCCGCAGAGAATTTCCCTTCTGCTCTATAACTCGACCCCTAATTGACCTAGTGCTCCAAACTTGGTATGCTTACACATCTTGGGGAGAAGGTATGTCGCGTACCAAAACCAGGTCACTGCGACCTTTATTTGACCTTTACCTTGACCTTGATCATATTTCCCTTCCGCTCTATAACTCGGCCCCTAATTGACCTCTTTATTTGACCTTTACCTTGACCTTGATCATATTTCCCTTCCGCTCTATAACTCGGCCCCTAATTGACCTAGCGCTACCAAACTTGCTATACTTACACATCTTGGGGAGAAGGTGTGTTGCATACCAAAACCAGGTCACTGCGACCTTTATTTGACCTTGATTGTATTTCCCTTCTGCTCTATAACTCGGCCCCTAATTTACCTAGCGCTACCAAACTTGTTATACTTCCACATTTTGGGCAGAATGTGTGTCGCGTACCAGAACCACGTCACTGTGGCTTTTATTTGACCTTGACCTTGACCTTGACCTTGATCATATTTTCTTTCCGCTCTATAACTCGGCCCCTAATTGACCTAGCGCGAGCAAACTTCATATACTTACACATCTTGGGGAGAAGGTGTGTCGCGTACCAAAACCCCTAAGGCAACCAATTTTAACATACTTGCACATCTCAGGCAGATGAGTTGTGTAACAAACCTTTGTCTTTGTGACTTATTTAACTTTACCTACCTTCTACGTCCTTACAGATATATTTCATTCATAGTAGATCACGGGGGATACATTTAGTTGGCGACAACTGCCCTTTCTAGTTGGTTTTTGTTACTCTGATTTCACGTCTATGTTGGAAGCACTAACGTCTATGCCTCCTACCAACACGTTCGCCAGCGTCCAAACTTAATTTGAAACTATAGCGTCGTTAGTGTAGTCGATGGCATTTAAGTGAGGATGGGGTATCACACTTTGTTAAATGAAGCGTTGTTTAACGACTGTTAATTTAACTGTCGAGTGAAAAATCATTGAATAAATACTGTAATAGTGTAGTTACTGTAGTATAATTTTGGCAAAAAATCGGTTAAACATGAGAGGAAAATAAAAACGTCTGCGTCCATTCATTGTAGTTTACAGTCCTCTATCTCTCATTGAACAATGCAAAGCATTTGTCATGATTACCTCTCATGTTATAACTATATGTTACCCCAAGCACAAGTGGCATGTTATAAATGGCTCATTTAACAGACCTTTTGCTTAGCGGACAATCCAACAAAACATCTCGTCTGTTAAAAGGGGTGTGGTAGTATAGTCGTGCTATCACACGACCTGTTCACGTAACAGTGCATTGCAGTCGTCGACGTGTGCATCGTAACGATCGTCATCTAGTCGAAGCTTTCGTTCTCACGGCTGATGTGTTTGCTAACACTGGTAGCTGCGTGCATTGCGTCGCAAACGTGGCGGACAAACGACTGGAGCGGGCGGTGGCGGGTAAACACAAGCCATGATGCCGACGCTATTCGCTGCATGTTAGCACATGGTAAACACTTTCACATTCGCTAGCTGCCGTCGCACCACGCGAAACGCAACTGAATCACACTGAAAGGGTCATGCATGTGCCGCGAAATTTTGTGCGTCTGCTGCCGCCGTTTGTTTGCGGGAAAGTGAAGGTAAATATAGAAAGCATTTACACATTCAGCAGTTGCCCAGGAAATCGTTTAACAGTTTAGTTACACAATGACAGACAGTTTGTATAAGACCCTCTTCGAAATTTTTGGCATTTTTAAACATGTCATCATACTATGGAAGGTAATGTGTAGGTATTCGTACCAATCTGCATACATTGTCGTTGAGAAAAAATATTGTTATTAAATTATTACGAGAGTTTTCCAGCGTTTTCACCACTTTCATGATACCTATACCGTTATTGCTTGAGTAACCGCAATTGTCTAGAGTAACAATAAAATGTCATAGAACCTTCGTATTCACCAAAACATGCAATTTTCGAACTACTATACTTTGGTAAACAATTGTTTGCTGTAATCTTGAGACTAGAGCCAGTAGTATGGACTATAGCTAGTAGTGCCGCCGCCATAGCTAGTAGTCTGCCATAGACATAGTACAGTCTCTCTCAAATGCACTTGTTTTCAATTATCACTGACAATTTACAAGTTTACCAATTCTGCTATTTCCGCGATACGAAAAAATGCATTGCTGTTACGATGTGTTCATATCCAATTTTCTACGCTATAACTGCATAAAATCTTAGTGTTTTTAATGTTGGTGTAATCGGTGATATTTCCGCTGTCAGGTGAGACTATAGCCGCGTTCACAAGGAGCGAAACGACCCATGTCGAAAACGACCCGTGTCAAGTGCGTCCCGGGTCAAGCGTTCACACGGACGTTTTCTCGGTACGAAAACGACCCGAGCGCTGGTTCATTTTTGCCGTGTGAACACGCACCGGCACACGATCCGGGTCAGAATGAGTACGGCGGTAGACGTCGCCAGTGTCGAGATCGCATTGTTCATTCGCATTGAACATCGCAATTCGCATTGTTCGCTTGGACGCATTGTATTTTTTTCTCAGCTTGCAGCTCGCAGTTCGCATAGCAGGCAGCTCACACAGCATCATGTGAATGATCTCTTCAACGACGCTCAGTGTCGTTTTCGATCCGGGTCAGTCTCGGATCGTTTTCGACCCGGAACGAACGCTCCGTGTGAACGCAGCTTATATTCAGCTATATATTTTTTGGATTGAGTGTTTCTGAGCAAAGATCTGGTAATAATTGTAGTGATATCCATACTATACTGTAAGCTAACGCCACCTAGTGTCAAACAAGCCTAGTGAAGTTAACATTAACACGTTCCCTGGAGATCCACGAGTCAGCTCGTGGGAACAATCAAAACGGATCCCCGCAGATCCACGAGTCAGCTTGTGGATAGATTATTGGTTTTTGTTACTATGATTTCCAACAGATGGCAGGCACTATACCTACCTAGAAATTAAACAGGGACAGTCTATATTACCCCAGTCTTACATGAACTAAATTAAAGAACACAATTAATGCTTTATTGTTGATTCGAATGTGAAATTAAGACTTTTGAGACTCAAGGTAAATTCGGGGCTAAAGTCCGTTCAACAAGGTTTGTTTACCGTTTTACTAACGGTATATAATATAATAACTGTGGTATAGGATGTAAACTATTTCGAGGTATTTTTGCATGTAGAAACACAAAACAAGGTTCATACCCCACACATGTGTAAGCGTTTTCACATTTCTTATCGGAAAAAATAGTATACTGTCGAATGATATCATAACAAACAGAGACGAAAATGCACGAAATGTCTGTTTTTGCCCTAGCTGTTTTCACATCAATATATTATTATCAAGGGGAACGATTTTCATACTATTTGAACGTGTAAGGGTGAGATAACACTCATACAGAGTAAATGTGTCAGTTTGGTTAGCTTTCCTGCAAAGGAAATGTGGTAAATCAATAAGTGAATACGCGGCTGGTAAAAACGCGAAAATCCCAGTGCAGGGCGGCATAGGTTCATTGTTAACACCGGCAGCGTTGAATGTGTTAAGAGATTCGATCTTATCGTTCTCTCTCCAAGATGGCTAGGTTGGCTTAGCAGTCACAATCTGTTGCTCTGATTAAAATCATCTCTATCTGCGTCAATCCGTCTTCTAGTGTTTATGTAAAGATGGACAATATCACTTCAATAATCAGTTAAATTTTTTATTATATTAGTTTTTAATTAAAAACATTATTGGTGCTGTAGCGCCGGATGGAACAAAGCCGCCTCAGCTAACGACCTCGTCACCTTATACAGTGATGAGCATGTGGGAATCTCCCGGCAGTCCCAACACCGATGGCACTGTGCGCTATCAGCTACAGTATCGACAGCCAGGGCGCAGCACCATAGAGTACGTGGACTAGCAATAGCTGGTTGTTTATGTAGTTGAGTTTGTTACGTTCTATGTTATAAAGTATCTCTCTGTAATCTCTTGTAATATTTCTCTTGTATCTTGTGAAATATCTCTATGTTATAAGAGTTTGCCCTTCTATTGATAATATGTGTGATAATGGTAATTTTAGGCATTGCCATAACGTACTTTCAAATTTTGTGTGCAGCCTAATATTATGGTGCTTTTATTTCATTAAATCTATCTGACTCTTTGTGTGAGAGCTTGCATTCCTGCAGTATCATAATACTCTTGCCAGTTTAGTGCATGATGTGAATAATCACTCTGTTCTTTGAGCATCAGAAGCATTAAATTTAGATGTTAAAAAATAGCTATTATATATGGATGCCTTTTATTAATTAAATTATTCGTGACGGCTGGCACGTCTTTTTCGTTTAGTATCTTCGAGGAACTGTCGACCGCTACAAGCTACTTACAGTCCGACCTTACGCCCTTCACGAAATATCAGTTCCGATTAGTTGCTGTCAATGATTACGGTGACTCGGTCACTGACTGGGCGATTGTCACAACCCTGGAAGACAGTGAGTTGCATGTGTACATGCTCAGTGAGGTTAAGATTTTTATTTCATGCACTCATCTTGTAATAAATTACAGGATTGTTAATCTATAATAGATTGAATGACATATATGAATGTGGTAGTTCATGCAAAGGCCCTTCCCGCTTGCCCACAGTGTTAAAATTTGCTAATTGATAATTGAGAAAAATGCAATATTTGTGATGCTAAATAACATATATTCTAAGCAAATGAATGCTACATAAAATTCCCTGTAAAATTTAATAAATGCAATGTATTCTCTAAATATTTTACTTGAAACATGAGCATCATGTAGTTTACACTTAGTGTTTACAGTTGATTCAACACATTTTAGTGTTCAATCATTCTAATTTATGCACGATAAATGCAGTAACTGTACCACATATTTTTGTGATAATTTCGATGTTTATTCTTATCTTCAGAACCTGTAGGGGTCGACCCACCAATGACTGACAACGTCACATCCACCACCCTGACTCTACTGTGGGAACCCCCGTTTAGACGTCGTGGCATCCTGACGCATTACGGTATCTTCCAGAACGGTGATTTTATCAAACAGGTTGGTGAGCACAGTGATAGCTGCATGGTCTGCTATTAGTAATAATCGGTATATAACATTTACATAACTGAAAAGTGACAGTCCCCCCTCTCTCTCATACATACAAACACGCACGCATACGCGTGCGCACACGCACACGCACACGCACACGCACACGCACACGCACACGCACACGCACACGCACACGCACACGCACACGCACACGCACACACACGTGACAGAGAGAGATATGATAACTCTAAATTTTGCAAAAGATGAATGTATACCTACTATCTAAGACTTGATTCAATGATGTGAATATACAAAAACAAGATAAATAGTAAGAACCAGGTTCACATTCCGCATCATATTTCTCCCAGCCATGTTATGTGCGTAACCGTGCGCGTGTGGTGACAGGTAGCAGGTAACAGGACGTCAACACTCGTCGACGCGCTCATACCATTCACGCGGTACAGGTACTTCGTGGAGGCGTGCACCGCGGCCGGATGCACACGCAGCCAGGAGTCCAGCGTAGTCACCACCAGCCCTGATTGTAAGTCATCATCGCAGTCTCTTGTCATGGTGGCCCAGGTGCAGGGCCGGATTTAGGCATAGTGTAATCGCCCATGTTGCCTAGGAGACGGTATCATTCCTGGGTGAATGACCACTCGCATGAAGAAGGCAGAATTTAGAAAGATATAGCAGTAATACATAAAAGATCATATATAATTTGATAAACATATAACTGTCTATGGTAATGAGAGTCTAGACAACTATAGTGGTCCAGATACCTACTATCACTAAACGCAGGCACATGATTACAACTAACCCTGTATTTATTATCTGATATCCCGGATATGCAAACCAGGCGTATGTCACCTATTTGGGCAGGGCTGGATTTGGACGTGGCAAGGCCCTTCGCTATGGGGAGCAGTAGGGGCCCTATTTGGCAATTGTTAACAGAGAATAAGGCTGTGTAACAATTTAACTTGGCACGGATGCCGCCAAGACAATTACGTGTGGGGTGAAGGGAACGGTTACTTCTTTAAACCTTTAAAAATATAACAAATGGAACAAAATTTTAGATTTTGAGAGGCTCCTTCAGACTGAGGCCCAAAACTGTAGCTTAGCTTTATTTAGCAGCTTAGTTTAGCTTATGCATGAATGGTGGCATAGATGGCTGTCATACCAGCAACTAGCACATCCTGTATATCAGAGAATAAACATAGCGTCTGTCTCTGCATGCTTGCTCATATTTTTTCCCGATGATGATGTTATTATTCGATCGCGCTCCAGCACCTGCTGGTATCTCCGCACCCACGACCGTCGCCGAGTCTCCCACGTCCGTGCTCGTCTCCTGGAAACCTCCGTCCCTACCTAACGGAGACGTGCTGAGTTACACACTGGAGAGACGCATACCAGGTACACGCAGCGATGCCCCGATGGCTGCATATCTCTCTGTCTCTCTCTCTTTCTCTCTTTCTCTTTCTCTCTTTCTCTATATATATATATATATGTATATATATGCTGTGTACACGCGGCCAAATAATGATCGCGAGTTACAACTCTTCATTATATATATAAAGAGAGAGCGATAGAAAGAGAGAGAGCAAGAGAGACAGCGAGAGAGGCAGAGAGAGAGAGAGAGACAGAGAGACAGAGAGACAGAGAGACAGAGAGACAGAGAGACAAAGAGACAGAGAGACAGAGAGACAGAGAGAAAGACAGAGAGAGAGAGTGAGAGATAGCGAGAGAGAGAGAGAGCTGACCTTGCTGCTATCGACCTCACGCGTCACATGTTGCAGGATCGGACGTGATCACGGAGGTGGGAAGTTTCCTACCCACGGACAACCTACGTTACGTTGACAGGTCCATCGCTCTCTCTCCGTTCACCGCGTACGAGTATCGCATCACCGTCGCCAACTACGTCGGCCAGACGCCGGGAGCCTGGAGCGTGGTTACCACAAAGGCTGCAAGTAAGCGCTGCTATTATATATTCTCCTGTAGTAGTATAGCTATTATTATGTCCTGTAGTAGTTATTCCTGATTAATGGACGGTGATTAGTTACACTTATATATCATTATATCATCATCAAAATCATCTTGGAATCTAATATATATATATATATATATATATATATATATATATATATATATATATATATATATATATATATATATATATATATATATATATATATATATATATATACATCCTAATTTCACTTTAATGATTAATGTAATGGTTTATATGTACTGCCTGTTCCTGGTGCAAATGCAAAATGCTGTTTGTCGGGCAGCCCCTCGAGACACATACGAATAAAATTAAAACAAATGTTAGAAGACGACAAAATTATAAACGATGACATCCTTGTAACCGTACTCGTTTCGCTCGTTATAAACCAATTAAAACTATCATCAAACTACAACAAAATTATTAACGATGACACCCCCGGAACTGAACTCGTTTCGATCGCTATAAACCAATTAAAACAAACATTAAACGACAACAAAATTATAAATGATGACGCCCCCGGAACTGTACTCATTTCGATCATTATAAACCTCGTATAACTATCATTAAACGGCAACAAAATCATAAGCTATGAAACCCTCCATAACAGAACTTGTTGCCTTCATCCCAAAGCGAATAAAACGCATGTTAAGTGTAATCGCGACTCGTTTCGCTCGCAGGGCCGAGCGGCGTTCGAGCGCCCAAGGTCACCTTGATAGATCCCGTGTCGGTGCGAGTGAACTGGGAGGCGCCGGTGACGGCTAACGGACGGCTGGAGTACTACATCGTGCGTCTGCCCAACCCTCGCCTCACGATCAGGAACGTGTCCACGCTCTCCGTCGTCGTGGATGGGCTGATGCCGTTCAGCAATTACTCGGTGACGGTGCAAGCCTGCAACGGTGCGTGAACGATAGAGTCGTCGATGATTCTCGGCTCGGTGCCATAGCTGACCATATGCACCAATTCTGCTCGTGATTTGAGATTGATTGATAAACAGATCGAGTTACCTGTCATTACGCATTTTGCTATCGTAAACTCTTATCAACTCTTTATCGTCTACTCTTATAGTGTGTATATTATATCAGAATCGGAGTCTGTTTATATATCGTGTCCATCCTGCATCGTGTGTTTGTGTCTGACACGTGTCTCCTCTTGCGCGGCACAGTGGACGGAGGTTGCACCGAGAGTCCAGCCACGCCCGTGCGCACCCTGGCGGCGGCGCCCCGACACCAGGCGCCCCCTGTGGCGACGCCCGTGTCGCAGACAATCGTCTCGATCGTGTGGGAGCCGCCGCGGAGTCCCAACGGACCGAACATACGCTACCAGCTTGGCCGGCGCAAGCTGGCAGAGCCACTGAAGAGTAAGCGTGGCGAGTTAACGCTCGCCGATAAATCTCGTGTCACGGACGATGCGTCGTCTCGTGTTGGTCTTTAGTTGCTTTTTTCTGTTTTCGAATAGATGCTTTGATGTTTTCAATCGTCACTTCGATGTCTCAGTGTGATGCTAGGTGTGATCTAAGACATTGGTGCGTTTCCATGTCACATTGGTGTCTTTAAAAGACTTTAATGTCATTATCAATATTGCTTTAAACAAACAAAAGTTTATATTAAGACTAGGAATGTACCATTAATGAATTTAAGCATCCTTGATCCTGGCACACAAGTTCACGTACATCTCTGTCTGCAATGTCAACTTGTTTAAGTTAAATGTTCCGATAAAAAAATTTGTTTTCCTGAATACATGATTAATGAACTAATTAGTTCTTTATTGATGTTGAGTTATTAGTGTTCCGATATTGTGCAGTTTTGCATTTTTTTCTGTCTAATAGGCGATAAGTGTATTAATTTATGTTAACATGTACGTTAAATCAGAAGACCATAAACTACATTAGTGTATCAGCTCTTGATTAAATCAATCTTGATAATGTATGGGCTAGCAGAAACCCATGTTGGCATGCAAAATAAATGTTCTCTTAGCTGTATTAGTGCACCTTTTTTCTACGCGAGTACACATGCATGTACTTTTAGTATGCGTACAATTTTCGCCCGTAGTATATTTGCGTCGATCTATATGTTTCTCAGACTGGACAGCAAGTGGCGATGTGTGGGAGAATGTCTACTATGGTCAGGATCTTTACCACGAGGATAGAGGTCTGACAACATTCACCACCTATGTCTACAGAATCACCGTCACTAACGCCGTCGGCTCTATGGTATGTCGTGAACGCGATTGCATGCGCATTTCATTGATCTAACGTAGCATGAAGACATCGCTGAAAATTACGACAATAATTCTATTTGTATTTGGACTCTACCCTGTTATAGACCACACTGGGTATTTGGCAGCCTTTACTTTTAATTTATAGCATTTTAAAGCAAGAAAGGTTTAGAAATGTATATCGTTTTAGCTTTTATTGGTTCTTCGATTAATGTCAGATTAAAATAAAGAAAGTCTGTTTGACAATTTGTTATTTGTGACATATCTGCCTGTATAGCAGTTGCATAAACATATTTCTAGTATGTCACTGTGATTAACATGCGTTTAGCAATGTGGAAACGAACGAAGAACAACACGTCGACGAATGAATTCAGATTAGATATAATTTTAAGTGCTTGACAATATTGTCATCTGCGACATATATCTGCTGTTATGTAGCTGTTGTCCCCTCCTTCCTTCCCTCAGGTAAGTGAGCCATCTCAGCATGTGACAACCTTTGGTGGGATTCCCCAGATGCCTGCCACTCTACGCGTCTCTGTGATCGACCACGTCAGCATCTACGTCACGTGGGACGTGCCGAGTAAGTGTCGCATCGTCATGGTGACAGCACAATGCAATAAACTACAATTCAACACCATACGATAACTATGAGACACAAAATTAACCTACGCTCTACTTTCCGGTACAATGGCATTATGCTATGCCGGGCAATATGATACAATACAATAAATATGATACAATAAGATAATATGGACAAGTGCCTTAATTACGTTTCTCGTGCTCCTGTGAAACAATCGTGTCGCTCACACTCTCCTCGCATCCGTCACTGCAGATCTGTATGCGTTACAAGGTGAGGTGGAGCAGTACAAACTGGGAGTGTACAGCGCCGCGGACAACGCCACCGAGGTCTACGACTACGCGGAGGATCGTAACAGCGCCACGGTAACGCAGCTGCAGCCGAGCTCAGACTACAGCGTCACCGTGGAGCTCATCATTAATGGAGGCAACTCTATTGTGAGTTCGCCCGTCGTCGTTCGCACTCTGGACGGAGGTGAGACGAATACGCCATCTACGAACTATCGTTAAAATTAAATCAAATTAAAAATTAGTTATCGTTGAAGTCTAAGTGCTTCTGGTAGGTTTTCGTTTGGCACATCAGTTTCTCATTTTCATATTTTAGTTTGTTTCAATTTACACGTTTAACACACGAAAGGGAAACGTATTGGTGGAGTTGCATCAGTTGGCACTGTTGTTTTTTTGTTATTTAAATGCTTGAGATCTTATTATTAATATTTTATGGTTTCTAGTTTTAAGAGATGGTTGATTCTTATCTGTATGATTTCTATGATTGTATGATTATACATTTTAATTTGTTTATGTTCAGCATGCATCCACGCAGTTGTGTTTCATTTTGCTCTCTAAACAATTTGGTTCACTTATTATTCACATTTTGCGGCAGTTAATTAATCACTTCTCGTTTGTTTCCAGCACCCGAGGGTCTGCCGTTGCCAGTGGTCATATCTCTGTCCGACACTGACCTTCAAGTGTCCTGGACTGTTCCCGTTAGAGCTAACGGTCGCATTGTCAGCTACAGCCTCTTCCTGGACGGTCAGAAGATTCCGTTAAACACGTCCGAGCCGGGAATCACAATCCTGAGCAACCTGCGTCCGTACATCGTGTATCAGCTGGAGGTACGTAGGTGGCAGCACGTGTCCTGAATTTTTACACGAATTTTTAGTTGTATATTTTACTATTTTTCAACGAATTGGATCTATAGTTTTAATTGTTGACGTGTCTGCGCGAACTGAATTTTTTCATGGCATTTAGCAGTTGGACTATTATGATTATGTATTATAATATAAAATCATTTCTTTTATTTATCTCAAAATTAACTAACAAAAAAATAAACAAAACAAAAAATTAAAATATTTTATACTGTAAAATGAAATCCAATGACATCACCCTAAGAACTTCATTTATATTCAGCATTTAATCGAGATACAAAAAAGCTTCTTGCATGGACACTAACAATCCACCTCTGACCCGATCGACCTCTTGTTTCTTCGTGGCAAATCGTTCACACACAGTTGGAGGTGTGCACGGTGTACGACTGCATACTGAGTGGCCACCTTCGTGCCACGACAGCGGAGGCTCTGCCCGAGGGGCTGGACCCGCCTGGACTCACCGTCCTCAATTCCTCCTCCGTGCTTGTGGAGTGGTATCTGCCGGGCAGACCTAACGGCATCATAGACTACTACGAGGTGGAGAGGAGAGACTTTCAACCTTGCGTCGTTCAGTGAGTCGACATAGCATTGTTTTTTTTATCGCGGATCTATTTGGTGTCGTCCGCCAAGTAATCTTTCCATACTCAGAACTTCAGTCTATGTTCAGGTGCATGTGAGTATATGCTTCAGGTACAAAGCTAACCAATTTTATTAGGGTGGCCAAAGCCACGTGTGGGTTGTGTTCTGGGCAGGTGACAGTGGCTAATTCACGACCTCGTTTAATGGATCTTTCGGTTAGTGGACAAACTTAAAATAATTATTAATTGCAACTAATTTTGTATATTATATTTTATACGTGATCGTGATATCATCGTGAGATGTGTTTCGTTGCAGAGTTGAGCAGGTGGAGAAACCGGAGAAGCGTAGATGTTCTTATGTTAGCTGTAGCATTCTGGAGGAAAACTGCGGGGACAAGTGCTACTCTGGACAGAAGGTGCACACGCTAATTACTTTATTAGCTCGCCTTGACATCTTCAAGATGAGCTATTGCCATGGGGTGTCGTTCGTTCGTCCGTCAACATTTGGCTACGGTCCACTATAACTCAAGAACAGTTTGACCCACAT